GCATCAAGCTCCGTCGGGGACGGCGAGGCAGCGGCCTCCGGCCGGACGCCGCTCTGGGACGGCCGTGCGCACGCAGATGACCCGCCAGTGTTCACCTCGTCAGCTCTGCCCAGTCCACGGGGGTGAAAAACGGGTGAGATTTGATGTCTTCCACCCCGGCCACTCCAGCACCAAGACGCTCCATAGGGTTGAACTGCAAGAGCTAACAGAGAAGGTCCGTGAGGGGCGACGCCAGGGAGGGAAGGGAGGAGGACAGCAGGGTCTCGGCTCAGCCCCAGGGGCAGCCCCGGCCACTCTCCGGCGGCCGCATCCACGCGAATGGCCGAGGACAGAGTCCGTGCACCCAGCTGGCGGCCTCCTGACCCACTGAGGCCCGGCCTGAGAGACTCACGTGCCTCTCTCCCCCTGGGGGCCCACCTGTCCACCCTACTCAGGAAAGCAGTGGCTGGCCCTCAGTGGCCGCTGCCCACGTCCTGAGAGGCCAGGGCCTCTTCCTGCCTGGGGGGCGGGAGCCACGGGCAGCCCCCTCCTCACCCGTGAACTCCATCACCAGGCTGACCTGGACCGGCCAGATTCCGGAGTGGCCATCTGACCCGGGGTGCCCTGCGCGTCACCCCACCCCGGGTGACCGGCGCCAGGAGCCAGCGAGGGGACACCGTGGCCCGGGCCCACCACGGGAGCCTGCTCGGAAGCAGCAGCCTCGAGCGTGTGCCAGCCTTGGGGGCTGTGACCCCACATGCGCCTCCCGGCCCGGGGCCTGGGGGACCCGCTCGTCCCTCCCGGGCACACTCATCACAAGGGAGCACGAAACGTGCCGCCTTCGCCCTGGGGCCCCCGCTGGGGCAGCGGGCTCTGGGAGGGGCCGCCACGTCCCAAGAGGACACTCAGCTGCCCGGCCCGGGCTGGCACGAGCGAAGTGCACGTAGCGCTTCCAGACGTCTCCTCAAGTCGTCGTGCCTTTCCCAGCCTGGGCGAGGCTCCGCTCCCACGTCCCAGCGGCCCCTGCGCTGGCCCGCCTGTGGGGCGCCCTCCAGGCTCGGGGGTGCCCTCCCGACAGCTCAGGGAGCTGGCCTCGCCGGCCTCCCGGTCCGTCGTGCCCAGAGCTGCCTCGGCGAGTCTGGGCCACTCTCAGGCGGAGAGTTTCTACCTTGACGAGTCAGAGAATCCTTCACACCCTCTGAATGTACGTCCTTTATCGCTCACATCACGGATAACACGTCTCCAGTCTGGGGCCTGGCTCTCAGTCTTACTGTCTTTCCAACTACGAACACGTTTAACTATAATGAAGCCCACTTACATTTTTTTTTATTGATAGTTTTGTTTTTTTTTTTAACACATCATTTTGTGCCTTTTTCCATCTCAGCTGCAGTCCCCGTGGGCTTCCCGTCACCAAATCACCCGTGTGCCGTCACCATAGTCCAGTGCACTCCCCTCCCTGAATTTTGGTCCCATTCCCCACTCCACCCCCATAAAATGTCCCTGGTCTACAGCTGTTCATTATTATTACCCCCCACCCCACCCCCCACTGGTCCTTTATGCTCCTGTTTTGAGTGAAACCATCTGGTATTTTCTTTTTTCTGGCTTATTGCACTGAGCACGATCCCGTCCAGCTCCATCCATGTTGCTGCAAAAGGCATAAGTTTACCCTTTTTGACGGCTGGGTAATATTCCATTGTGTACATCGACCACATCTTTTTAATCCAGTTCACTCTGGGCCCTCAATCCCAGCGGGTGTAAATGTGTACCCGGGTTTGCTGCAGAAGGCTGCCACTAGACGTCGGGGGTCCAGCTCTAGCCCCTCTCTTGTGGGGAGCAACCGTCCCAGCCTCTGTTCGAGCGTATTCCTATGTAAGTAATTTTCTTCCACAATTTCAGCTCAGAGTAGCTCCTGACTACGTCAGAGACTAAACTGTCAAAACTGTAGAAGGAAACAGACTGTGTGGTTGGTACACACGATGGAATATTACTCGGCCGTCAAAAAGGATAAATTTGCGCCTTTTGCAGCAACATGGATGGAGCTGGAAGGGATCGTGCTGAGTGAGATAAGCCAGAAGGAAAAGGAAACATACCGGATGGTGTCACTCATAGCAGGAGCATAAGGGACCCGGAGGAGAAAATAATAATAATGAACAGCCATAGACCAGAACGTGCAATGGAACGCCAAATGAGGTCTTCACATGCGTGGTCAACACACTTAGGACGCCTCCCAATGCACATTTAACCACAACTACTGTTTCCTCTTTCCCCGTTATTTCAGTTTCTGCTTTCACTCACGGTGCAGCAACGCAGTTAGCATTGCTAAGCTGAGCCCCTGCCCACACTGCGTCTAGACCTCTACTATGGGGCAGCAGCCTGGGTCCCTCTTCCAGAGCTACATCCACATCAACCCCGGGCTTCCTGCACCACCAGTCACCGCATGCCGTGTGTGGTCCACCATGCTGCCTATCAACAATATGACACAGACGCGGTGTGAGGCCTGGCTCGAACACGGCGAGTTCATTTAATTCGCGATAAGCTAATGACTGGGAGCAGTGACCCTCTCTATTTCATGGATGAGAAAACAGAGATGGAAGGAAAATTAAACAATGTGGCACACACAGGAAGTAGGCGGCAAAGACCGGCTTGGCTCTCGTGACCCTGGGGCCAGAAAGCACGCCTCGCGTCTGTGGGTCAGAAGTCTCTGACGTCACTTCCACGTGACCTACTCGACACGCAGTGACGCAGACACTGGAGAAGACGCGACCACAGTCCTTCTGCGGGAAACTAGCGTCTCTGGTCTTGAAAATGCCACACTACCGTCAAGCCTGTTCAAAGAAACGGTGCGCCTCAAGTTGCTACGGCACGTTCCGACAAAAAGCTGCTATTCGAAAAGAAGCCTCCGAACACCCTTCCTGGGTCAAACCTGTGTCAGCACCAGCCACGTGACCTCTGCCGGCTGGCGTGTGGAAGGCACCGTACCGTTAGTATTTTTACTTCGGTCAGAATGAGCTGTGACGATAGCATATTTTGTGTTATTTCTGGAAACACAGCAACAGGTAAAGTTCTTTCTTTGTTATACAATAAACTTCTCCACACCAATTCTTTCCACATAGGACTTACTTTCAAAACAAAGTTAAGTGTTTTGGCTTTCACTGACGTCACTACCGCTCAGTTTGCAAACACAGGCTAAATCTGGACGTGCACAGCCGGAGGCTTCAGGCATTCTAGACCCATCTGTGGGCCACTCCACATGTATCAGTAAACGTTAACTCGCCATTGTCTCTTCAAAGCCCCCAGAAACAGGCTGGCAGAAATGCCCCGCCGTAAGCTGCAGCTGCTCCCTGACCGCGCCCCGCACGGTGACGCCTCAAGAGACGCGCGTGGTCCCGGCTGGTGACGCGTGAGGGGCTGACGCGCGGGGCCGAGCGAGGGGCCAGGTGAGTTACCTGCTGGATGAGCGAGCGCGCCTCTTCGGAGACACTTTCTGGCATGTTCAGAGTAGTGTGGGTGTTGATTCCGGCCGGGTGGCACTCCACCAGCGTCTGAAACAAGCAGGCAGGCAGACGTCACAGCCCAGCATCTGCCCCGGGGGCAGAGGGCCCCGCGACAGTGGTCACCGCAGGGGGGACATCGGAGCGCCCCACGCAGCCAGGACTGGAGCCGGGCGCCCACAGACGCCTCCCGGAGCGAAGGCGGCGCCCAGATGACAGCCCAGGCTCCGGCTCCGGCCGCACCCGGTCACCGTGACGGCCCGCAACAGAAAGGCCTACACTAAACGCTACCAAGAGGTTGGTGTCTCCGAGAAACGTAAACGACCTGGAGAGTCTTCAAAGTTCAGCATCTGTTAGTAATACTCCAGGTGAGCACCCGTTACCCTCCTACACCTTCCCGAAAAGTCACCGGTCAGAGAGAATTCTGAGCTATGAATTCGGTCCTTAAGCAGGTCGGGAAAAAGTGACAGTATGGAGGGGAAAATGATGTTGCCTTTCATAGCTACATTCGCTTTCTAAAAGGGAGTGTCCTCCTGGCTTCACACACGATGTGTGAAACATCCAGAAAATTCTAATACGTCCTCACATAAACCTTCCAGACTGAACTCTGTTAGCTGACTCGGGGAGCGGAGAGAATGTTCAGTCGTCTGTGTCACGACGAAGTAATACTGTGACCAGAACTGAGCCCGGCCATCGGCGCAGCCCACATAACGTGCTTCTGCTTTTTAGACACTCTGGAGTCTGACACACTCGCAACGTCCCCTCACGGCATCATTCTCTAGCCCCGGATCTAAGGCTAAAGGCAGACTCCAGGCGTTCCTGCGTGAACCCAGCGGTG